ATCCCCAGGCTGACAATTGCCTTTACTGTTCACAGTACATACACCAACAATTCCCTCGCCACTGCCATTTATATCCTCCTGTTCTGAGAGTGGATAGGATGCTGCTTGTAAAAATATCACCAGTTGTTTTGGCGGGCATGGGTAGAATTTGGAAATGAATCTGCCCAAGTGCTGGGGCGATCGATCTGCATTACTGACTGGATTTGAAATTAGGCTAATTGCCTTTTGGGCAGGACCCCATTTTAATGGCTTGGCTGAAGTTGAGCTAAGCATGAAGGAGATTGCTCCTTGCTCTTCTATTGGGCACCTATGTTTTTCGCTCACTTCATTCTTTCTAGGCGGGGGAGGTAATTATTTGGGTTAGGGAGGGTGGGGTCTGCACCTTCCCAAAGGCTTCGCTTTCTCTCTTCAGTTATCTTCCCCATGCTGTCCCTTCTCGAAGCCTTGCAGAATATCATTCCACTTCCTTTTCTGTGTGAGCCCCTCTCCTTCATTCACCTAATGCCAGAAGCTTAAACAAACGCTTTGGAGGATAAATTCATCCTGGCCGTCAGTGGATTTTGGCCCTTTAAACTATGATGTTAGTTTCAAATGAATGCTTACACCTCTTCTCTAACCTCCAGGACAGTGGTTCTCAAACTTTTGTACTGGTGACCCCTTTCACATAGCAAGCCTCTGAGTGTGACCCCTCTTATAAATTAAAAACACTTTTCAATCTATTTAACACCATTATAAATGCTGGATGCAAAGCGGAGTTTGGGGTGGAGGCTGACAGCTTGTGACGCCCCACGTAATAACCTCGTGACCCCCTGAGGGGTCCCGACCCCCAGTTTGAGGAGTCCTCCCGCCCCCATCCTGATAACCTGGCTCACACCTCTTTTCAGCAAAACTCCCCTCCCCACTGAGAAGGGGGATCATCCAGTTTTGTTAGATGCTGCTATGGAGCAGTAGATCTTGCCTTTACCATGGAAACTAGAAGCAGCACTTCTGCAGCACTATGCCGGCCTTACGTGACTGCCTCTCCTCAATTCAAACCTGCCTTCCCCGCTGCTTGGTGCAATGGACTTCCTGTCGGCCACTGTGGTGACTCACAAGGCGTGTTCTGTGTCAGCTGATTTAGGGTTAAAGCTTGCTCAGAAATAAGAGCAGTACCGGGAGAGGACACAGTGTGGTGAGAGACTTGTTTTTTTTTCCCCCGGAACACCCCTTATCTGAGGGGGACTTTTCTGAAAGAGAAGGAAACCACTTGAGTCTCCAGGACAGGAGAGGTTGATGTGAACTAACCGCAGGTGAGACAGAAATAGGTGCCCTGCTGACTAAGGAAGGAGAAAAGTAGCTCAAAGGACACCTGGAACCTCAGCTCCCCAGTGCTGCCTCATCATTCTAGTATGTACTTTCGGTGGCTGTAAAACTTCTAACAGCAGGAGGAGTGTGGACTTGACTCTAACCACAGGGAGACTGCAACGGGATGAGATGATTGACTACCCTGGAGCAAAGGGTTCTGGGTTGAAATGAACCTCTTAAGAGTGACCGCTGACTCAGGTAGTGGAGGAGCAAGTTAATACATGTGCTTTATCCAAATACACCTCTACCTCAATATAACGTGACCTGATATAACACGAAATCGGATATAACGCGGTAAAGCAGCGCTCCGGGTGTGTGTGTGGGGGGCCTGCGCACTCCGGTGGATCAAAGCAAGTTCAATATAACGCGGTTTCACCTATAACGCGGTAAGATTTTTTGGCTCCCGAGGACAGCGTTATATCGAGGTAGCGGTGTAGTCTGTATGCAGAGCCTTGCATTCCTCCACCTACAGTTCTAACCGAGATCTGCCGATCACTTGCTGAGAGCGTTTGGAGAGAGAATGTTTATGGTCCAACATATATTGGGCTAGCAATAGGCTGGGAGTGGGGAGCCAGGAGGGGAACAGCAGGGGTTATACTTTTAAGGTCAGGATTTAATAGCATTGGGCAGGGCTATGTAGGAGGAAGCTTGTGTGACTTCTGTCCGTGCTACGTTTGGCTCCAGCTGGAGCAATAACTCCCTCCGTTCTCCGGTCAACTAAGTTGCCAAACTTCAGAGACTAGATTTTAGAGGCACTGGGGCAGTTACTAAACTGAGGTCGCTGCTTGCTGGATTTCTTACAATAGCGGGTCTTAAAGCTTGACATCAAAGATCTCTTTAGATAATAGCAGGGTGGAAGATGCCACGCTCTGCTGTCTCTGTTTCGTGTGGTCTTCACGTGCCAGCTCTTCTCAGACGTATTGCATGAGGCTCACTAGGTAAGATTGTTCCTATGCCTCTCTTCTCCTTCCTTTCCTCTTCCTCCCGCCATAGCCCCCAGCCCGAAAAAGCAAATGTGGCACGTTTCCAGAGAACCCTTAGTTGCTGTGCTGCCGTGGCTATTGAGAGCAGCTGGGATGGTCAGAAGGAGAATGAAGAGTTGAAGATGATGACATGTCTGAGCCTGAGTGAAGAGGACAGTGGACTTGTCATAGTGGCACAGAAATGGTTTGGGGCAGGGTGACTACCGGGAGCACAATTTCTCGCTGGGGAGAGGAGGCAGTGTTGGAGCGAGGAGCAGAGCGCACACAGCTGCTGGTGGGCGTCCTGAAGGGAATGCTGGGAAGTGGTTGGACAGGTGGGAGGGGAGCTGGAAGAGCTCGGTGCCCTGAAAACCCAGGGGGTTACGCTTGGTAGAAATTCCCTAGCGTTCTTCAGGATACCTTCCACCCTTGTCTCATCTTCCTGGCACTAGGGCAGCAAACTGTCCTCCTGTCTGGCCTGCTGTGCCCCCGTGTGTTGTATCTGACTCCGTTGCCGTGTCTCCGCTGGCTTTTGTCTGTTCTCCCGCTGTCCTTTTATTATTTGCATTAGAGTAATGCCTAGAGATCCCTAGTCAAGTCAGGTGCTGTCCCTGCCCCAAAGAGCTTCCAATCTAAACAGACGAGTCAGAGGAGGGTATGATCCCTGCTTTCCAGATAGGGAACCGAGGCTTGGATTTTGGGCAAGTCATATGACTGTGTTGCAGAGCCAGAAACATGAACCCAGGACTCCTGAGTCCCCGTCCAGTGGTGTAACCCCAAGGGCAGGCATCCATCCATCTTTCCATCCCTTGTTGTGTGTCCTAGCTCTCTCTGGGCCTTGCTTTCTGTTCTCACTCCTTGCTGCTTCTCTCTACCAATTCCCTCCGCCGCCTCCACCTCTTTTCCCCATTCTGTTCTCTCCCTCTCTGCAGCGTTGTCTCCCTGACCAGCCCAGAAGCTATAGCAAATACTTGAGTGCCTGTTGTCCAGGGAGAATGGCTGTTTGCTCTGGGCCCAAACCTGCTTTCACTGCAGTCTCACAATTGCTGCAGTCGGAGCAGAAGCAGGCCCCTTGTGCCCAGGGGAGCGACTCCGAGCCGCATAGTGCCACACACTTCCATGCACGTATATTGCATACCTCCGAGGCTGTGATGCTTGCTGGTTCTCCTTGTGGTTTGTTACTTAAAGGTGAATTGTGACACTCCTGCGGTAGGAATGGAAACCGAGCCTGGATCAGCCCAGCAGTAATTAAAGCATATTTCTCTCTTTGTGTTTCCGCAAATTAACGACCGGCTTCCATCCAGTTGCTAATACTGCCTGTGGGGCTGCCACCATTGGTCACCCCCGTAGCAGACTTGTCTCTTGGTTTGCCGGATGTTTTCAGCCCAAGTGGAACTGCTGCTCTGAGGGCTGGCCCAGCAGCAGTGAACCTAGATGCTGGGTGGATTTCCATGTCCACCTTCCTAATCCTCCTGCAAACCTCTAAAGCTTCCTTGTTGCATTTACAGGCTTTGAACGTTTACCATCTTAAGACACAGCAAACATCATACTTGGGAGGAATAGTGCCTGGGCCTGCAGTCAGCATGGCATCTGGAGACTCTCCAGGCTTAATCTTGGAACTAAGCATCTGATTGCTTCTTGGCTTGCCCCCAGGAGAAAGAGGCCTTCCTTTTAAATGCTAACCTATCGGTTCTGTTGGGCACCCAGTTGCTAGAGCACTGACAGAGTAGAAAGGCTCCTGAAAGCCTCTCCATTGTTTTCTCTTATCAGATCTTATTAGTGTGACCAGATGTCCTGATTTTATACGGACAGTCCCAATTTTTGGGTCTTTTTCTTGTATAGGCTCCTATTACCCCCCACCTCCTGTCCTGATTTTTCACATTTGCTGTCTGGTCAGCCTAGATCTTATCCAGGAAGCAGTTTAAACCCTTAGTCCAACTTGATCAGCCTGATTTCATGGGGCAGGAGGAGGGAAAGTCCTGAACCCTGGGTAAAGATTCCTGGAGCTGGCCCTGGCATTGGGGGTTGGGACCTGCTTGTTGTCAACACGGATCTCAAAATACCAAGATGAACTAGATGAAAGACGGTTGGGAACTTTGCTGGATGTGTGTGGGGCAGTTGTTCCCCCTGCAGCCAATCAGTGTCTCTTCACTGGGAGTCCTTTGGGTGCCTGTCAGTCCTGAGTGTATCCACTCCCTGGTGGGCCTGTACAGGACCCTCCATTCTGAGCACCTGTCAACAGCCTTCCGTAAAGGTGACCTGCAAGTAGATGGAGAGCTCCGGGGCTGTGTGCTGCCAGCTTGCACGGGCTGGTTGCTCTGCGGACCCGGCCTGTTTGGGAGAAGTGGTACAGACGTCAGTGTCATCTGGTGTTACGTATCTGGGCAGGTCACCTCCAAGTGATCTGTCCCTGCAGGAATTGCTGGGTGCATCCCGGGTGGGTGTGTCTAGCTTCGGGGAGGAGTGCGGGACTTATATTGACCCCTCCACAGGCCTAGGCTCTCGGGTTATTCTGGAGGCTCCATTCAGGCATGCCGACACTGTGACGGCCTGGGCAGGCTGGTGAGGTGGTGCCCTATAATAGCCTGCCAGGGCGAGCCTGCCCTGGCAATAGCACAGGGAGCTGGTCCTGTGACCATGGCTGAGCCAAAGAAACCCCAGGCAGGGAGCCCAGAAGTGACTCCGGCAGGGAGCATAGAGTTAGCAGCAGTTCCTGAGGTGACTGTCTCCACAGCCGCCATGTCCACCAGGAGGCTGCGCAGCGAGGACTACAACGACTACAGCTCCACAGAGGCTACGCCTGACGGGAGCCCCCCCGAAGGCATAAACAGCTTTGCCTCGCCGTCATCCTACCAGCGGTTTGGGGAGAGCAACGGGACGACGTAAGTGACTGGTTCAGAACCACCTCTTCTCTCTGCTGGCGCAGACGGCCCGTGCGTTACTGAGAGTGGGCACTGCGTTCAGCCGCTGGCCACCCCGGCCCCCCTGTACTCCTCAGAGGATGCTCCGGGATCCTTTGGGCGTGAAATGTGCTGTGTAACCGGTAAAGAGCTACGGCTTGCCTTGCAGGCTCTCTCCTGCCTGTCCGTACAGGTCTCTGGGAGCAAGTGCTCCGCCCGCCAGGATTGCTGTCAGTTCAGTCCAGGTGTGGATAGATCGGGTACTTTCCACAGATGCTGTCTCAGCAGATTTTTTTTTTTTTGGCAGTTTATTTCCCCCGTGAAGCCTGACTTAGAGCATCTTATTTTTTTAAAAGCAGCTTTGGATTTCCCTCTTCCTCCCACCCCCTTCCTCCGCCACTTTTTTCCCCCCAGCCAGCTCTGACTTGGGGATGTGGAAGGCAAATGACTTGCCTGAATTCAGAGCAAATCGGTGGCTTGCTGGCAGTAATGTCTCTGCATCTTCCTTGCTCCCGGTTCAAGCAAAAGGGCCCCCGCTGGGGCAGCTGTAATCCAAAATGATTGAACACCCTGGGCGCCCAGGTTCGCTCGGGGCTACACCGCATCTCCCTGAACGGCAGCGCCGGATGCTTGAGTTCACGGACCCATTCAGTAGCCGTCGCTTCTGACCGCGTGGTCACCTGCTGGTGCAGCTGGGCTTACGAAGACCTGCGGGTGCTGAGCTCTGCTTGCTGCTCCGGCAAACGTATCCGCTGCTCAGAGATCTTGCCAGGGTATTTTCTGTTCCCAGCCACTGGCAATCTCTGTTCAAGAGCAGCCTAGGACTAGAGTGGCCGTGTGGCGGGGGGGCTGAAGTACACTGGCAGGCTTGCACTGGGGCTAGAATATCCTGTGCCACTCCTGACCATCTCTGTATCTTCTCCTCCGCAGATGGTTTCAAACCTTGATCCACCTGGTGAAAGGGAATATTGGCACTGGCCTGCTGGGACTGCCCCTGGCTGTGAAAAACGCTGGCATCGTGGTAAGACGGCGTCTTCCTTAATAGCACGGAGGCACCCACTCCGATTGCGCGTGGGGGCTCCTGCTTGGTTTCTAGACAGAGGCATGTTGCTGACTTGGACTCAGGCCTTCTGTGTGTCTAGCACCTCCTGCTTAGGTGGCTGCTGGGGTTGGTCAGAGGCTAGAAAGTGTCCAGCCCTACTTCACCGGTTCCCCTCCCTGCTAGGTCAGTAGTGACTGCGCGGCTAGTGGCTGGCTGTTCAGAAGCCCGAGTGAAGAGCTGCGGTGTCGGGCTGGTTCCTTGGGGGAAGGCATCAGCAGGGCGTCACTGCTGTGTTTCTCTTGGGGCCATTTCCTCTGCCCGGGCTTGAAACAGGGTGTTGGGGAAGGTTTGCCTGTGTGCTGTATTGTGTAGACAAACAGGGCTGCAGACTCCAGAGCTGTGGGGCTGGCGCTTTTTGCCAGTCGTACAGCAACCCTTAGCAGGTCTCTTTGCCATGCTGCAGTTAGACCAGTGATTGTAAAGCCTCTGGCTGCTAGATGTCCTCTCACCCCCTTATCTAGACTGAGAAAACTCGTTGTGTAACGTCAGGCGGTCTCTTCTCCGCTCCTAGCAATTAAGTACAAGTGTAAGTCATGACCTAAAACAAAACCTTGCCGTGTGACGACAACACGTCCGCCTAGCCCAGGTGGTAGAACTTGGGCGTTAAAGCTGTCCCAGAAGCACCTCGCTCTGAACTGCGTTCCTTAGCAGTCAGGTGCTCTGTTACCTTTCAGGTGCCGCTGAGCCTTCCTGCTTATTAACATTCTTGTGTATCTAGCTGCTCCTACAACCCTCAGGCACTGATACAGGCGTATTCGTCTCGCCAGTATCTATAACAGGCCATACAGTGCATAGCGCCAGCATCTGCCCTTCTGCCCATCGCCTCTGGAGCTCCAGGGGATCCGGACACTGAGTCAAACCCCAGCGGTTCCATTTCCCCCTTGACTTTGCTACTAATCTGGTGCCAGGCGTGGTTTAAATACCGTCCATCTTCTGTAAAGCTCCTTGAGGGGCTTTGGCCTCAGACGAAGCCAACATACCTCGCTTGAGGTTCTGCGGCTCTCCACCAGTCCGCAGGCGCGAGGTTGCCCCAAACCTGGGACTGTGCTGTACTGCAGGGAACAATCCAGCATTTGGAAAGGCAGAGCCTGGATCCTCCAGAGCTTTTCCCCCTCGCGGTTCTGATTCCAGGATCAGAGCGGTGTCCCGCTGTGCTAGTAGTTTTGCGTGGGTTCCTTGGTACGCTCTTCTAATGCAGGCAGGACCGCGCTTGTGTTCTCAGCTCTCTGTACATTGCTGTCTAATGTGAACCCAGCCTTGCAGTTCTCGTTTTAACCATCAGAGTGCGCTCTTCTCTCTCTCTCTCCCCCTTCTCCTGCTGTCTAGCTGGGCCCGCTCAGTTTGCTGGTGATGGGAATCGCCGCAGTGCATTGTATGGGCATCCTGGTTAAATGCGCTCACCACTTCTGCAACAAGTAAGAGAAACCCTCGCTGCTGTCGGGCCTGAAGTGTTTGGCGTCCTATCCCCTCCCCAGCACCCCCCTTGTCTTAGTTTTATGGAGCCCATTAGAAATGGTGACACAGAGTTTAAAGTCCTCAGGCAGCATTCTGTCCGTTGAAGTGTGCTGAAAGCCCTTGTGCAACCTGTGCCCAGAGAGCTCTCCTTCCTGAATCCCTGGGGGTGGCGCATGGTGGGTGTAGAGGGTTGGAGAGGATGTTGCCTTTGTAATCTTGTAACCAGATTCGCAGAGTGTTGCACCAAGTTCCTCATATTGGGAAGAGGCTTTTTGCAAGCTACCAGGTTAGGTAAGTTACACAGACTTTCCAAGGGCTTGGTCAGTTCCTGGTAGAGAGCGGGAGCTGATGGGGAGGAACGTTTAAGGAGAGAGGCAATTATAAAGGCGATTGTGCCCAGCACGTGATTGTGCCGTGCCTGGCGCTCAGAGTCACTCACGCAGTGTGCTACGGGTGTGCACCTCGGTCCCGATTTCACACTACGCCCCCTTATCCCAGTGCTGAGCCCGGCAGTGCATCTGACAGCACTGTATGTGTTGTCCCAGTCCTTGATCTCTCCAACTACCGCCACCAGGCAGTGATTCAAAGCTCTCTTGGTTCTGCTGACTCCTTTGTGAATCACTTCATCGCTCTCAACCTTTGCTTCCCCACCTGTAAAAGGGGGGTGGCGACGCCTCCCTACCTCCCAGGGGCTTTGGGAGGGGCACGTCACTAACACCTGTGATGTGCTGTGAGATCACTGATTGGGAAGAGCCGCAGAGGGGGAAAGTATTAAAGAACGAAACAGAAAATGGAGGAGGTCAGTGTCACTTCCCATGGCTTGATTATATCCCTGCTTGCACCAGTGTAGCCAGGAGCACTCCTTGTCTGTTGGTTCGAGTCCCCAGCTCACACCTGCTTTGGGTGGATTCCCATCTTCCTCTGAGCAGATACTATGGGGTTATTGCTTGTGGTTACACAAGCTTCTGATGCTTCCATCTCCATTCTATGGTATCTGGGTTCATCACAGAAGCATGACAGAGTTATTTACAGTGGACTAGCACAGTGGTCCCCAAACTATGAGGTGCGCCCCCCTACGGGATGCAGAGGAATGTTTGGGGAGGTGCAGCAGGGCCTGGGCCAGCCTCCACGGGAGCGCCACCTGGCCCTGCTCTGCCCCCAGCTGTGGCCCTGACTCTCAGCTGCAGTGGCACTCGGCCTCTGCTGCCAACCCTGACTGTGCCTCTGCTCTTGGCCCATCCCCAGCTTCGGCTCTGCTCTGCCTCCAGCCCTGCCCCTGGCCGCAGCCTCTGGCTCTGGCCACGGTCCGGCTGCAGTTCTGCTCCCAGCCATAGCTCCGGCTCCCAACTGCGGCCCGCGCGGGGGCGGGATATGAGGAAAAAGTCTGGGGACCCTGGCCTAACAGTTGCCAATCAGAAATATCTTCAGACTTGCATCTAATAGCAGCAATCTTGTGTTATTCCCCCGGTGTGTGCCTCTGAAAGTAGATTGGGCCACCAATGTCACCTTCCTCTCTCCCTTCAGATATCAAAGGCCTTTTGTGGACTATGGAGATGCTGTGATGTACGGGCTGGAAGCCAGCCCTAGCGCCTGGCTTCGGACCCACGCCATCTGGGGAAGGTACCGTGTTCTCTTCTTGCTTTGGGTTCGGATTGGGAGAGGAAGCGCTGGCTGGGCTCTCAAACATGCTAATCAAATAGTGAGTCAAATAAGAGACTTAACCAGTTCTTCCAGTTCAGGGGAATGCAACCTCCTCGTTCTCGGCTTTGTCCCAGTCTGATGGGAGCCTGGCTTTGTGCGTAGCACCTTTCTTACCCTGAGAGAGGCTGCACAAAGCGAAGCGCTAGGGTCTGGCCAGGCTCTAGGCAAACACAACTGTTGTGTGCTCCGCAGTTGCTTGTATGCACCCCTGGATGCTGGAGTCTGTCTCGCTGAAAGGATTGTGTTTATTTCCTTGAAATGCGGGAGGTCATCCTTCCCCATGTGCTCAGTTGTGGTGCTGTAGGGGAAATGTGGTACTTTAGTGCACGTATCTGGGTGGGAAAAGGAAACTCATTTGCTCCGCAGCCTAGCAAGGAAGGGACAGATAACGCTACTTACTTCATTGCATGTTGGCACATCTTCCTGTCAGCTGCTGGACACTGCGAAAGCTTAACCGCCGGTTCAAACGCTTCCCGTCCATCTCAGTAACTCCATCGCCTTGCAGGTGTTGCCGAAGTCAGTACGTTAGCAGTGCGTCTATTACACACACTGACAATCCGTATGTGAGGCAGTGCTTCTGTGGGGCAACAAGATCCTGTAACACCTCTTGCTGGGACAGATCTCTTTGAATGCGGGGGGGAGAAGTGGCTGAGTCTCCCAGATGGCCGGGGGGCGGTGCTGGTCCCTTCCACAGAACGGGCAATCCAAACTCATGGGGGTGCGGAGGGACACTCTTCAATTAACCACTGAAACCATTTATCTGGGCTTGGGGTGGATTCTCCATCACTGGCAATTTTAACATCAAGACTGGATGTTTTCCTAACAGATCTGCTCGTGGAATTACTTTGAGGCAGTTCTGTGGTTTGTGCTATACAGGAGTTCAGACTAGAGGAGCACAATGGTCCTGTCTGGCCTTGGAATCTCTTAATTTTGGGGGTCCAGATCTTCATCCCCACCCAGTGTAAACTCTGTGCTTCTGCGCCTCTCCAAGCTGCAAGATAATGTCCCCTCCTTGGCCACAATCTTTGAGATGCCTTTACGGGTCTCTTGGGCTAAATCTCTAGAGGCCACAATGTCAGACTTACCCACGTCTAGCACAGGAAACTGAGCCCCTTCTAAAATGGGAGATGTGGTGGAGAAGGTGAACGGAGAGCTAGGCATTTTTAAGCATAAGATGCAGGATCCCATCTTATCCCTTTGCTGAGACAGCGGTTGGAAAACCACTCTTGCGTAGCTGAGATCTGTTCATGCACCTTTCTCTGCTTGCAGCTCTTCTGATGGGCCTGTTCCAGGTATTGGCTTGTCTCCCCGTTGAGAGGTTCCACCTTGTACCTTCCTTGTACCCGGAACATTTTAGTTTGACAGTTGCTGGTGCAGCCTTAAAAGGGTCTAAGAGGACACAAAGGGCCTTCTGCTGTGTGAGCTTGCTGGTGAAACGGAGGGAGAGGGGAAGCGTCTACCTCTGGCAACGCTCCCTCCTACCATCAGCAAAAGCAAGCCATCCAGTTCACCCTTTGACCTCTAGCTCTGTATTGCAGCCTCCTAGCCGAGGAATCGCTCACAGTGTTGATGTAGCATTAGGATCAAAAGATGCACCTCTAGCATGAGTCCATGTCTTGCAGGCTGCATGGTTTTAGCATTAATGATTCTTTTTTAAATACTTTCTCTCTTCTCCCTCCACCCCCCACAGGTACGTAGTGGGATTTTTCTTGATTCTCACCCAGCTGGGGTTCTGCTGTGTGTATTTCGTATTTCTGGCTGACAATCTGAAACAGGTAAGACTGAGTTTTTTGGTGATAAGGGGGTGGGGAGGGGAGTTCTCTTCCAGATTTGGGGTGAGGGAGGAGCTCAGGTTGTTCCTCCTCCCGCAGACTAAAACCCAAACCCAGGGAGAAGAGTCTTGCTTCCATAACTAGAGCAGTACAGGAAAACGTAACCCTTCAGCCCAAAGGCAAAGATCAATATCCCGTCCGCGTTCGTGCAAAGTGGGAAAGTGACAGATACAACCTCCCCCTACCATGTATTTGTCACTGGTGATAAATGGCTGCTAGACCTCTTGTCTTCCACACTCACCGAGCGAACTAAGGCCAGGACCTGGAAAAAAAATCTGCACTAGATAAAACTTGCCTGCCACATCCCTTGGCTTTGGCTGCTTCCAAGCCTCAGGGGTTAAGAGGGGAAGGGGATTATCCCACATGGCCTGTTGCAGGAATCTTGCATCTTCCTGTCAAGCAGTTGGTACTGGCCGCAATCCGATGGGCTATTGGACTAGACGGTACGGTAGCCCCTAGAAGCTCCGGTTGGGACAATCGCAATTTCAGGGGGAGGTTCCTATTGTAGAATGATGCCAACGAGAGCCCTTTTAAACGGGAACAAATGAATTAGGTCTCTCCTCTCCGGATGGCAAACTTCCCAGGGCAGGGACCGTAGCGTTTAAGGCCAGAAGGGACCATCCGATCATGTAGGCTGACCTCCTGTATATCACACGTTACCAACGCCGCCCGGCACCGACACCCTAAACCCAGCAACTGAAATTAGACCAAAATATTACAGCCTAGAAACAGGCATTTGCAAAACTTCAAAGCAAGCTGGGAGTCCCCTGCATGCCTCCCCATGCCAGTTGCTCTTTTCCTTTTAAATGGCCAGAATCCAGCAGGCAGGGCATAAAAAGAAAGCATTGAAGATCTGACCGCGTCCCACGCTCCGAGCCGGGCAGTGTACTGGGGGAGCGCTGCCAAGTGTCCCACAAAGCGTCGGAGGAAACCCTGCCCACCTGCTTCCCCAGCACGAGGGGAGCTTTTCTGGGGGAGCGCCCTTGATGCTGTGATGTATCTTTTTTTTTTTTTTTTAAATAAGTGGCTGGAAAGGAAACTGCATCAGCAGTCGGGCCTACTTAATAAACACTCTGTGGGGAGCAGAGTTCCTGCGAGAAATCCACAGATGTGTGCCAGCTCAGCTAGTGTGTTGATCTGTCGGATGCTGGGGGGAGTGTGAGATCGCTGGAAACAGGCTTAGTTGGGTTTTATTCAGATCAGTGTAAATTATTACTCGTCTGGGAAAGGGTGGAGGTGTAGCGGGGGAAGAGGGGAGAACAACCTCCGGTTGCTCCAAAGAACTGGGCCGTAATGTCATGAAAACCAGTCGCCTCAGGAGGTGGAGAGAGGAGGGAGGGGATCTCCCAGTCACCACATTTGGGAATACACCTGAATGAATTCCTGGGGGTTTCATGTCCTTCCCAGCGTTACGTTGCCTTCTGTCTTTTGGGGGTGTCCTGTCTCTTTTTCCACAGGGCAGTGAATTAGTATGTGAAGGGTCTGCTCTGCATCACTGCTCTCTCGGTATGATGGGCTGTTTTTTCCTTCACCTCACAGACCCTGTCATACTCCATCGTGAATAGAGGGCAGGGGGACAAATGCAGCCAGCTGTTGGTTCACTGACCCCACTGGCTGTCGCTGCTATTTCGAGGCAGGCTTCCTTCCATGGGAACCCTTCATGTTGCTTTAATAATGGAGCGATCTCGGAGCTCCAATGCTGGCTGAGCTACAGAGGAGCAGACCATTAGAAATGGAGATTAGATGTTTGCTTATTTACTGGCTGAGGGTGAGGAAAAGCCCTTTGCTGGTTTCAGAAGCCCATATTTTGTGGGTTTTCTTTTACATGATGGTAAAGCAAATCCTCCTATGAGATCTTGAGCATTAAGTCTTTGCACAATATCCGTGTTTATATTTTGTGCTGTGCTTCGCCAGCCCGGGAGTGGGTACGGCTTGGGTAATGCATTGTATACTAACACCAAAGTGTCTTGAATCCAATCATGATGTGGCAAAAAAAGGAACAGGCTGTTTCTGCTTTATGCAGCTCGCGTGTGTGCGCATTGAGTTCTTTGTAAAAATACACTGTGCTGTCTTTTTAATAGACTAGTTGTGGGTTGACTAAAAAGGGTTATTTGCAACTCGTTCGGAAATCCTAGCTCAGCTGTCCAGCAATCTGACAGATTTACACTTGATGTGATAGGCGAGGTGTTTGTCTCAAGTGTCTTTGAGGACCCAGGATCTGTGACCATGGCAGGGGTCGGATGCTCTTGTGTCTAAAGCACAGGGCTGGGTTCTTTCCCAGCTTTTCATTGTGCGTGCTGTATGACCTCGATGCAAGTCTCTGAGTCGCTACGCCTCGCTTTCCCCATCTAGGGACCATAACGCTTCTCGCTTGGGAGTCTGAGTTTCATTTGCTGTTTACAAAGCTCGGTAAAATTCATATGGAAGCCACTATAGAAGTTCAAAGTGTTTTCATAGGAAAAACCATGTTAAATGTCCCCTCCCTGCCTGCCTGCCCTAGAGTGGCCTGTTGGGTTCTTAAAAGAACGTGCAGTATTTAAGTTTTGCAAATGCAACCTCTCTCTAAAAGATAAAGGCTGTGTGGCTCTTAAATTGAGAGACCATAACTGTGTGGCTAGGACTCGCCATCAGCCCCGCGACTCGGTTGCCAAGTTCAGGTTATGACAGGGAACCGTTCAGCATCCAGGGGGGTTTTTTTTGGCTCCTCCCTCCAGGTGATCTCTGCAGCAAATGGCACCACCAATGACTGCCATTCCAACAAAACCACGGTGCTGACTCCCACCATGGACTCCCGGTTGTTCATCCTCTCCTTGCTTCCGTTCCTGGTGCTGCTCGTGTACATACAGAATCTCAAGTTCCTGTCCATCTTCTCCATGCTGGCCAACCTCGCCATGCTGAGCAGTCTCCTCATGATAAACTGGTATATCATCACGGTACGTGGTAAGACCAAAGTCGAATGCCTCTCTAGTCTAGAGACCTTCCAGACCTCACTCAGGGACTGCATATGATAATCTTCAGATGTTTGAGAGCCGGGTGCGCCTCTCGGGGCTTCAGCCTGGCGGGGAAGGAAGGGTTCTTGGGGATTCTACCTGGCCCAGAGGGGAGGGGTGTGTGTCTTGGGGATCAGGGCTGAAGCCCCGAGAGGCCCCCTCCCACTGGCCAGAAGCCCTGAGACCCACCACCCGGCCGCAGGGCAGAAGCCCAGAGCTCCCCCCCGCCCCAAGTCTGGTAGGTGGAGAATGGGGGGGCCTGGAGGGCTCTGTGAGCTGCACTTTAACTGTAAAAGAGCCACAGTTTGGCTACCCCTGCATTATATGAACTACTCTTAGGGACTGCTGCAGGTCAAGACAGAGGAAGGGGGTGTCGTGGGGGGGGATGTATACTGGAGTCGTTGGGGTACAATAGGTAAAGCATTAGGTGCACTGCACGGGGGGAAACTTACCCAGCTCTTGCAGTGCCGGGTGTACACCTGGGGCATTCTAGTCCACGTTTTGACGGAGTGCTTGTGAGCTGAAACTTTGAGCAAGCGCCACAGAAAAGAAACCTTTGGAATAGGCCTCGGTTTCTCTCTTGCCTTTAAATCCCAGCCGCTCTTTTCTAGGGCATTCCGGATCCCAGCAACCTGCCTCTCGTAGCGGGCTGGAAGACCTACCCTCTGTTTTTTGGCACGGCCATCTTTGCTTTCGAAGGTATCGGCGTGGTAAGTGTTGGCTTGTAGGCAGTGCAAGCACCAGCTGCTATTTGTGCTCTCTGCAGCATCTGTTCTGTATGTGCGGAGATCTCTCTGTGCTTGTAAGCCAAATGTTTGACCTGGGTGACTGGTATTGATGGTGTATTCACTACACAGACACAGCTTCCCTCCGTCTAACCTCGTTGCTACTGGGGGAATGGAGGGGTATCGAGCCCTTTAAAGAAATCTTGAAAGACCTTTATACTACAGCAGCAATTGTTCAATTACTTCCTCTTCAGATCTAATACTTTCAAAGCCAGTGTTCTGACTTAGAGACCTTGGGGTCTACCTGTGTGGCACAGATGAATGTGGCCTATAGGAGTGAACTTCCCTGAATATCTCTACCAGGTTGGGTTTTAAAGCAGCCTTGCTGGAGAGAGAAAAGACAAAGTGACATGAAGATTGGAATGCTTGGTCTATTCCCTCCCCTTGAGTAGCCTGGTATCTTGCAGCAGTTTCGGTTCAATTTCCAGTGGTGCCAATTAGGTTTGTCTACTTCCTAGTAGGTGCTGTAAATAGAGCAGCTTGCTGATAGTAAAGAGGAGGAGGTGGGTGGGTGGAGCACTTTTATTATCTTGGTTAAACATCATAGGCTATTTCCCAGAGTTCCCTTTCTAAGAGGACAGCTGTTTTCATTTCTTTGTGTTACCTGGCTGCGTAAACACATGAGCTGGAAGCACCAAGCCCATTAAGAACATAAGAACGGCCATACTGGGTCAGACCAGTGGTCCATCTAGCCCAGTATCCTGTCTTCCGACAGTGGCCAAAGCACTGGTCTTCAGAGGGAATGAACAGAACAGGCAATCATCGCGTGATCCATCCCCTGTTGTCCACTCCCAGTTTCTGGCAATCAGAGTCTCAGGACACCCAGAGCATAGGGTTGCATCCCTGACCATCTTGGCTAATAGCCATTGATGGACCTATCCTCCAGGAACTTATCTAGTTCTTGTCTAAGATACCAGAGTATTGACTGCACAGAACTGTAAAGCAAGCATAGGGCGGTGGGAATAAAAGCTTTTTCTTTGGCTTAGTTTGCTTCTCTCACAGTCCTCTGCTCCAACAGCTGTGCTTCTGTGACCTGTTGGTGTGCCCTCTTTCCAAACCACTGGAGTAGAAGACATATAGCAGCTAGCAAAGGAGCTCTCAGAAATCTATATTTAAAAACCCAAAAGTACCACTGACAAATCAACTGTAAAAGAATAAGACTGGCCAAGAAAGAATTTGAAGAGCAGCTAGCTCAGGACACAAATACTAATAGAGAAGATTTAAGTCCATCAGAAGCAGGAAGCCTGCCAAATAGCCTCTGGGGCCACTGGACGATTGAGGTGCTAAAGGAGCCCTCAAGGAAGACCAGGCTATTGTGGAGAAGCTAAATGAATTCTTTGCATCCGTTTTCACGGCAGAGGACGTGGGGGAGATCCCCACACCTGAGCCATTCATTTTAGGTGACAGACCTGAGGAACTCTCCCAGACTGAGGGGTCCGTAGAGGAGGTTTGGGAACAGATTGATCAGTTAAACAGCAGCAAGTCCCCAGGACCAGATGGTATTCACCCAAGGGTTCTGAAGGGAACTCCAATATGAAATTGCAAAACTACTGTACTAATGGTGGTATGTAGCCTATCGCTTAAATCATAATGTACTAGATAACCGGATGATAGCTAATGTTATGCCTATTTTTGAAAAAGGCTCCTATCCTGGCAATGAGAGGCTGGAAAACCTAACTTTGGCAAATTGGTTGAAACTATAGTAAAGAACAGAATTATTAGACCCGCAGATGAACATGATTTATTGGGGAACAGGCAACACGGCTTTGGTGAGGCAAGATTTCACTTTACAAATCTATTACAATTCTTTGAGGATGTCAACAAGCTTGTAACAAGAGTGATCTAGTGGGAAAAGGAAATTGGACTTTAAGAAAGCCTTTGACAAGGTCCCTTACCAGAGGCTCTTAAGCAAAATGAGCAGTCATGGGATAAGAGGGAAGGTCCTCTCATGGATCAGTATCTGCTTAAAAGATAAGAAACTAAGGATAGGAATAAATGGCCAGTTTCCACAAAGAGAGGTAAATAGTGGGGTCCCCCAAAGATCTGTCCTGGGACCTGTACTGTTTAACATATATTCATAAATGATCTGGAAAAGGGGTGAACAGTGAGGTGGCAAAATTTGCAGATGATACAAAATTACTCAAGATAGTTAAGCCCGTAGCCTACTGTGAAGTTACAAAGGGGTCTAACGAAACTGGGTAACAAAATGGCTGATGAAATTCAGGGTTAAGTACAAAGTAAGTGTGTTGGAAAACATAATCCCAACTATACATACAAAATGATGGGGTCTAAGTGAGCTGTTAATACTCAAGAAAGCAATTGTTTAGTCATCGTGGAGAGTTCCCTGAAAGCATCCGCTCAGGGCCGCCGAGAGCGGGTTTGGGCCCCGGTGAAAAAAATTTTGGGGGCCCCCCAGCAAGGGCGGACCGGCTAAACAGGGCTGACGAAGCCGGGCCCCGGGGCCCCTTCCGGACCGCCGGGTCCCGGTAATTTGTACCGGCTTCCCCCCCCCCTCGTCGGCCCTGCATCCGCTCAGTGTGCGGCAGCAGTCTAAAAGTCTAACAATGGTAGGAATCATTAGGAAAAGGATAGATAATAAAACAGAAAATACATAATGCTACTATATAAATCCATGGTATGCCTACACCTTGAATACTGCGTACAGTTCTGTTTGCCCCATATCAAAAAAAGATCTATTAGAATTGGAAAGGATGCAGAGAAGGGCAATGAAAATGATTAGGAGTATGGAACAGCTTCCATATGAGGAAAGATTAAAAAGACTGACAACAGCTAAGAAAATAGACAAGTAAGGGGGCGGGGGATATGACTGAAGTCTATAAAAGCATGACGGGTGTGGAGAAAGTGAACAAGGGAGTGTTATTTAACCCTTCACATAACACAAGAACTAAGGGTCATCCGATGAAATTAGTAAGCAGCAGGTTTAAAACAAATATAAGGATGTACTACTTCTCACAATGCACTGTCAACCTGTGGAACTCTTTGCCGAGGGATGTTGTAAAGGCCAAAAGTATAAAGAGTTCAAAGAAGAACTGGGTAAGTTCATGGAGGATAGCTCCATCAATGGCTATTAGCCAAGATGGTCAGGGACTCAATCCCATGCTCTGGGTTCTCCTTAACCAACTGCCAGAACCGTCTGGCATTGGCCACTGTCATGGATAGGGTACTGGGGTGGATGGACAATTGGTCTGACCCAGTATGGCCGTTCTTAAGCACAGTGACCATAGGCTTGCGTAGAGGTAAAGCAACATGCTGCAAACTTCACAATGCACTCCTGCCACGCTCCCAGAAAAGTATTGTCTTTTGTCTGTCTTGTTACTCTTGATTACTAGGGTTTCTTGAAAATTGTTTGTCTCAGCAGTTTACAAAAAATTGCATTTTCAGTGGAATGAAATTGTTCAAAAAGTGTCTGATTTCCATGGAAAACTTTGAGATGTTGTTGAAAGCCAAATGCACAAAACCTGAAATATTTCGATTCAAAATGGTGTAATTTGGGGGCTCTATGCTCCCATTCTCTTGTATAGGATGGGCTCGCTGGCTGGACTTTTCTTTGCATAAAGTCAGTGACTCCTATCATGAATTCCCTTCTCCAAAAGGGGATGAAGCATCATGGGAGATGTAGTCCGGCTAGCAAGCCCAGCCCTTTGAGGAGAATGGGAGCATAAGGCACCCAAACTACAATTCCTATGAGGCATTGCTGCTTCATTGTTTTTCAGTATTTCATGGAAAAGTTGAAATCGCTTAAACTTGTGCTTTGGCTAATCCATCACCTTCTGGTTGAAATGATTGGGGAATGCTATCAGCTCTGTGTTTACAACGAAGGGAAGGCATAGTAGCTGCCTGTAAATAAAACCTGACACCTGCTAACTCCTACACAACTCCTTTAGCAGCTACATTACCTGGGGCCCAAGCATGAGAATAGCAGACAGGGCATTACAGAGAAAGTACATGAGTTTAATGGCATTCTGGTACATCCTGAGTGAAGTTCATGTATAACTTACAGGGATGCAGTGCTGGTACTTTCAGCAGGAGATGACATGGTAAAGCAAATTAGTCTTAAGGAATGAGGAAGAATGGGAGAGGGAGTTTCCTTTGATCTATTAAGGGGAGAAGGGGGGTCTCTTGAAACCGTTTATTGTGAAGGGGGGGAATGGAAACCTACAGGATTCACAGAGGTAGTGAAGCCAGTTAACAGTTCTAGATGTAGGACAAACTAAAGTATAACTTTATCATCCCAGTATAGACTAGTCCCACCCATGTGATAGAATTGAAACACTATTTCACTAGGAGGGTGGTGAAGCACTGGAATGCGTTACCTAGGGAGGTGGTGGAGTCTCCTTCCTTGGAGGTTTTTAAGGCCCGGCTTGACAAAGCCCTGGCTGGGATGATTTAGTTGGGAATTGGTCCTGCTTTGAGCAGGGGGTTGGACTAGATGACCTCCTGAGGTCCCTTCCAACCCTGATATTCTATGATTCTAATTCTTCCCCACCCCCAGCAATCCCAGCCAGTAGTTCTCTGAGACAGCAGTGTGGGGAGACTCGGTTGGACACGGGGATGGTGATGATGCTCCCCCTCTGGAGTGGAGTGTGGCAACCAGCTGATGCAGCACGCAACAGGGGAAATCTTGCCCAAGAGCAGGATTTAAGGGGAGGAAAAATGGCATGGGTGTCTAACCGCACAGAGGAGATAGCGGCAGGGCTTTCGGTGCTACAGTACATTGCGTGGCACTCTCCTCTTCTTTTGAAAGGTTGAAGGGATGAGCTGATCCCATTAGGATTTGACCATGTGATTCCTAGGAGCCTGGATACTTCATGCCAGAATCTTAGACCATGTAATCCACCCCTGGGCCTTGTAATTCACCCTACTGTTACCTTCCCAATTCCTTAACTCCTCTGCAGCATAGCGACTTGGTTAATCTCTGCAGTCACATGATTCCCTGCTCCTTTTCCTTGGGTCTTGTTGCAACATGGCGTAGGTGGGGGAGGTTCCCCGTGATCCAGGGAGCATCTCATCCTGTCCAGCTGCTGCACTGTTGGCAAATGGCTCAACCGCAACAGTTGGCTGTGTGCCAGGGCTGCTCCTCACTGCTGCTTAGGGTCTCCTCTGACTACAGGGCACAGACCCAAAGAGGCTTCCTCAGCCAGCCCCGTCCAGGAAGATGCTGGCTCAGAGGTGGCGCGCTAGACTCTGAACCCATGGAGGTGAAGGGGAGGGAAATGAATTCAGTTTGTTTGTTTTCTTCCTCCTCCTCCTCCCAGGTGCTCCCCCTGGAAAATAAAATGAAGAATCCCCGGCACTTCCCAATGATCCTGTATGTGGGAATGGCCATAGTCACCATCTTGTACATCAGCCTGGGGACCTTGGGATACCTGCGATTTGGAGCCAGCATCCAGGCCAGCATTACTCTCAACCTGCCTGACTGCTGGTGAGTCTCCAGTCAATGCTATTTACCACTTCCCGTAACACAAGAACTAGGGGACACCAGGTGACCTTAAATAGGCAGCAGTTTAAAACTAACATAAGGAAGTACTTCCCACAGCGCACAGCCAGCCTGTGGAACTCATTGCCAGAGGATGTTGTGACGGCCAAAATATAGCTTAAGAAAGAAAAAAAGAATGAGATGAGTTCATGGAGGATAGGTCCATCAGTGGCTATTAGCCAAGATGGCTGGGGATGCAGCTCCATGTTCTGGGTGTCCCTAAACTTCTAACTGCCAGGAGCTGGCACTGTACAACGGGCCGGATCACTCGATAAATTGCCCTTTTCTGTTCGTTGCCTCTCTAGCACCAGCAACTTGGAAGGCAGGATCCTGGACTAGATGGACCATTGGTCTGACCCAGTGTGGCCGTTCTTATGTTCTGTGTGTGGGGAGCTCGCATTTCACATGATGCAGAAAGGGAATCGGTGGATGTAATAGCTCTTAGTGCAGGGCTGCTGAGGGGATGAGTAGCTTGACCACACTCGCCTGCTGTCCAGGGCAGCATCTCAGGATACCACTTGGCCTGTGGTGGGGCCCTGCAGCCTTTGCCCTGTCCCATGTCTGCTGTCACTTCCTCTGTGGCAGGAGAGCGAAAGTGAATGTCTCTGCCATTTCTGAAGAGATTTGGCTCTGACTGTCCTGGTCTTTCCACCGTACTTGTAAGAGTAGCACAGACATTCTTCTATCATGGAGCCCGCTACTTGTTTCCATCACACATGGGTGCAGGGGAGGCAGGGTTAATATGAACACAGCACTTTGGGATAGAAAGGAGCCATAAGCTGTGACATGCATCAGTGACATGCAGGCAGTACCAGGTGTGGAGTGTAGCATATCAGGAAGGGGAGGGGAGGTTTTGGCCAAAGTCACCAAGGGAAACCTCTTCCATTATGAAAAGTGCCATAGGAGCTTTAATGTAAAGGTGGTCTCCAAAAGACAGGCACTAAATTGCATCTGTATAAGGACTAAGCTTGGTTCTGGTGGGCCTTGAACCTATAGCTCCAGAGCGGGTGCTTAGATTGCAGAGCTTTTCCCTCCGGGCTCCAGTCTGGTACTGGTTAAGTGCTACTTCTGCCTCTTTCCTTGGGATCCTGTACCTCTCTGCTCTGCGTCTTCCTTTGTAAGTGGAAACCTTGCTGGACTTTCTGAGGGTGTCTATCAGGCTCCAATCCTGCTGCAAAGATAGATATCTATCTCTACCCCTTTGGACCAGACTGCCCCACAGTTACATATAACTTCTTCATTAGGAAGCTGGTGGTTGGTAGACAATCAGAGTTATTCAGTGTCTGCGGGTGACTGACCTCTAGGTTACCGGGAAAGGTGTGAGTGGGAGACAGGTTGTAAACAGGGCTCTCTTTTGGCCTTGGGTAAATCATTTAATTTTGCTGCCTTAGTTTCCCTGCCTTTCCTGTGAGAAGTAATGGGGTTTAAAGCACTTTGGGGATGAGAAATGCCAGGTGTTTTTACTGGGCTTGCATTGTGCGTTTCAGTCCAACACACACTTCATTCATTAATCAAGGGCAACGCATACAATTCAAGCAGGGTGCTTGCAGGAATGGCTTGTGTGTGGCATTCTGATGGGTGTCAATAGGCAGCCTCACGCTTTACCAAATAGCCAGTTTTTGTTTAGATTAAATTCCTAATAGGCTGATATTGGGGAGTGCCTTGTTTAGGGTGACCAGACGTCCCAATATTAGGGGCTTTGTCTTATATAGGCACCTATTACCCCCATCCCAGTGTTTCACACCCTAGCCTGGTCATAGAGAATGAGATTAAAAACAAATTTGCTTGGCCCCCAGCGGGCCCAGACAAAGGTGCAGCAGCTGCTCCAATCAAAACCCTCCAGCTACAGAGCTGCCTTCTCTTCTTTGTCAAAGGCAGGTTTCAAAGGACTCTGAGGAACTAAGGTAGCGGGGAGGCAGGAGAGCAGGAACTAATTAAAAGCCCGGTGCTGTCTGCTAGCAGCTATGGGCTGTGTTTTGCAGCTTGCTTGGAACGTGGAGGCTGTGATAATTGATTCAATGAGGCGCACAGATGTGAGGCTTTTGAAACTGTTTGAGGTTTAATATTTGCCAGCCTAAGTCCAGGAGAAGGCATGTTGTGTAACTCCCTTTTTGTCTTGACTGGCTGATGTTCCTCCGAGGAAGGTGGTTTTAGGGGGGGATTTAAGTGGGCCCCTCTTCCTGGGAGGACGACCTTTTACTAGGATGCAGAGTGACTCCAACTTCTGGTGTCTAAAAGGGAAACATTTCTCCTCTCCTCATGTCAGCTGAGCTCTGTTCCTCCTTCCCCGACTCCCCTGGCGTCACAACAAGAAATGGTGGAAAACCATATGCTTTGACAGGGGGCGGCCTGCCGTTGATACGGGAAGATGCTTAGATGTAAGGACTTTCCCAGTGTGCTCTGTTTCTCCAACCTGCCCCGGTTTAGGTGTTGGGAAAGCCATGGGCTTCTCAGAATGGGACAAATCATGAGTCCCTTCCTCCCCGGCGGGCTGCCGTGCTTTGTAACGGCTCACTGGAAGGCCTCTGACTGGAAGGGGTGCGCTCTGCTCACGTACAGTACTGTGAGCAATGGGCAGAAGTAACAGACAATCTGATTTGCCTCCTCTCTCCTCAAACGCTTTGAGTAAGTTTCAGACGTGGGTCGTCTTGGAAGGGATGTTGGGTCACTCACTAGCCCTTGACCAAGCTGGTGTTGAACCAGTGCCCTAGGAGAGGTTCAGGAGAGACTTACAAAAATACTTCTGTATTATGGTAGAGCCTAGAGGTCCCAGCTGAGATCAGAACCCCATTCTGCTAGGTGCAGTAGAAACACGTAGAAAGACAGTCATCACCCCCAGAGAGTTTACAGTCTAAACAGGCAAGACAAAGGGTAGGAGAGAGGAAATATTACTATCCCCATTTTTACAGATGGTGAACTGAAGGGCAGAGGAACAAAGTAGCTTGCCCAAAGTCTCACAAGGAATCTGACAGAGCTAAGAATTTAACCCAGCTCTCTGCAGTGCCTTAATCACAAGACCATCCTTCCTCTTTGCAGCATCATCCACTGTCTAAAACATCAGTGGCTTTTTCCAAACTCGGGGGTGGCAGGTTTGAGGAGCTGAAAAAAGGAAACCGCTCTTTCTCTGCCAGTGAGTAGAACTGGAAGTAAGAGTGGTGCAGTGTCTTCTGGACGCACTTCAGGCTGTTTGCAACTTCTAATAAACTTTGGTTTTATTATAGACCAAAATGACCAAAACGTTGTGCAGAAAAATCCAGATTCTGAACTATGTGCCAGGCCCCTGCGGGACCTTGGAGTCTACATCAGATTGAGCCCTCTCAAAAGTTGGGCTTTATACCTTGCAGAAAACTCCCAGCATGCCTCATCCTTAAAGGAACATTGCTTTCTTTTCCCCTTAAAGGGCAATTGCCCCATCCCATGAAAAATAAAACCTGTGAAAGATCATCCTTGACCCCGAGGGATCGCTGATGAGTGGGCTTTTGTGGAGGTGAAGATGTGGACAGTACAGTCTCTGGGGAAATGGAATCCTCTACACCTTGCGAGCAGAGCTAATAATACAAAACACTTAATATTTTCATAGCATTGTGCAGACGTCAATTAATTTCCAGACAGAACACTTGGATCAAGTTGTAAATAAGTATCGATAACTTGGAAGTATTACAAAAAACAAACTCAAGATCCTAAATTAGGGTAAAAACTAACTTTCTGTTAAGTGTGGAAATGCCAAGTGAAGGTGGCTGATGAACGTCTGTCCATGGAGCACGTGTCCCAGCCTACTGCTCAGACGCAGAATGGTTTATTCCTCATAAGTTGGTGGGCTACATCGATGGAGGAATGTAAGTCTGTGTAGCCTCAGCATTAGTGGGATGCTGAGCAGCAACGCCAGGTTTGCGGCAGTTGAGAGCTTCATTTCCAGGGGTTTATGGCCATGGCTGTCAAACTGTGCAGAATGAAAGCTGAACTGTTGTGACACTGTGATGTCGCCCTTGGTGGGGGCTGGTGTGGACGACAGCCTCTGTGAGAGCTCTTGGCGCATGGCCTCGAAGGTGGACGTGTCCACTCCTCAGAGCGCAGTGACTGCACCACTCGTCTGCAGGACTCCCTCTTCTTGATCATCCCTGAGTGGGGCCATCTTTGCTGTGGGTGAGGGCTGAGCGGTGGCTAGCCCCTCCTGGCCCTCTTCCTGCACTCAAGTTTCTGTTGGGCTTTGCCCCTCACCTAGGGGAGCAGGGGCGAAGTTGCCGACTCCTTGTGACCTGCACAGACTCCTGGGCCAGCCCTGCCCTCGATCTTTGAAGACGTGCATTAGTCATACAAACTTCTTGCTTTAGGAGCTAGTGCTCTGTAGCCTTTTCCCATCTTTGGTGGTCACTTAGTGTGACACAGTAGGAATATAACCAACCACAGGAACGAGAGACTTACGGTCAGATGTTCAGAAGCTCACCCCCATACCTGGATGTGGCTTATGCCCCAAGCCCCAACTTGCACAGGCATCAGTGTATTTACACCCTTAAATTGGATTCTCACCAATGTGAAAACGTTGCCTGAAGCTTTTTGTACATTAGGCTACGTTGATAAGTGTGGGCATTTTCAGTAGCTAGTATGTCCTGTAAAGCCCCAGTGGGCCGTGTAGTCCCAATTCCTTACTCACTATCTGAAGAAGACTGCATCAAGGGACTAGAGAATTTATAAAAGAGATTCCAGGCATATTGCCATAGGAATAACCTAAGGGAGATCCGTTCCAATTGAGCAGCAAATAGCTCCTGTCTATAGCTTGCGCTTTGTACCTCGCCTGTCCCCATCATTACTTCAGCCAGTGTGTCGTTCTTCTCCCGGCACTGCCACCATTGAGTTGATCTTCCCCAGCCAAAGCAGTAAGGTCACTTCACCACAACCCCCAGCAAGGTGTGTGTGGAGCAGAGAAGCAGCACTGCTTGAAACTGATTCCCAAAGGGAAGAGAGTGATTTTTATTGGCTACTTTAATTGTCTCTAGGTTAGAACTGCAAAGTGCTTCATCCTCATGCTTGCGAGCTGTTCTATGCCCCGTTGATCAGGTGGTTCTCTTTCCCCTCACCCCAACTGCCTGACTCCTACATTTGAATCCCTCACTGGTGGGTTGCAGTGCTCAAGAGCCTCTTGCTCATAAGAATGCGTTCAGGTCCCCCCTCCTCCCCCCGTGCACCAACCCTGACTTCATAGAGTTGCAGTTTCTCAGCATACTTTGCTTTGGTACCTTGTATGATTACTAAGGGGAGCACCTCCAGCCTGTAGAAGCTAAAGTACTGTAAAAAGGTGGCTAGCCCCTCCTGCCTTAGCTGGAGTTACTGAGTCTCCAGCTTCCATTGGTCTTCCCCCCTGCCGCACAAGTGCTGTCTAGCTCTGCTCCCCCATGCATGTTCTTATTTCTCCAGACAGGCACGCACCCCAACTGGAAGCCTGATCTAGATTGGCCCATGCAATGCTGGGATCTAGCCAGCTGGTTGGCCCAGGTAACACAACACTTTTATAAAAGGCTGGTTCTCCTGCCCATGGATCCCTTGACCTTGCACAGAAATTGGTATCCCCTAGCCATCCTTGGTCCGAGATCGGGGTCATTCTCACGCAGAGAAGACAAACTCCTTCCCTTTGTATCGCTAATGTCTGTCACTGTATTATGAGTACTTAGCGAGACCCCGGCTGACTTGGGGACTTAGCTAGGGTCTCTACCAGGACACACAACCTGCCCAGCACTGCTATTTTAACAGTCCCTTCCCCCAAACCCTCTGCGCCAAGCTCCAAAAATAGTCGTTTTTTTTTTTAATCGAGCAGGTTAAAGTGCGGGCGGTGGTGACGTCCGCATTGCGTTTAACTTCCTAAGCCCGTGCTAATCCTTGCAGTGCAGTCCTTCCCCCTAGCTGGGGTGGGGGGGAGGGAGGCAGTAATCAAAAACTGTGAAATATTCATGTCGAAAGCTGCTAAACCGCTTTGAAGGTAGCCTTGATCTTTTTATTTTAAGGCACAGAGTAAAATCGGGCTCGCCGCAGAGCGAGGCGAAAAGTAGCTTTTTCTTCCTCCCGCGAAGAACCCAAATTTTGCTAGCAAAGGTAGGGATGAGAGAGCGCCCAGGGAACAGGTAATAAGAGACAACTTCTGTAATTCTAGCTCACTGGCTCACAGCCAGCGTTGGTTGCTGGTGGTAACTGACGTCTGATCAGCCGGCTCCTCTGTGAGACGACCTGTGGTCTCTGCCCATTTCCTAGTGGATGGGTGGCCAGGTGCCCCAATGGTTAGTGCCCTCGTAAGGATGAGCCTCCCTGCATTCCTTAAAGGTGGCCCCTGCAGGTCTGGCTGGGGAAGGTGGTCGGGGAGCTTGCGCTGCTGGGACAGTGCCTGTTCTGTAGCTGAGCGCAGGCCTTCGGACTCCAGTCGGCAGGAGCTTAGTGGACAGTGTCATGCTGTGTGTGCATGAGCTCACAAGTTCAAAACCCTGGTCCCCATGACCCACCCTGACTAGGATATGAAATGACCCCCTTTCTGAGCAGTGGGAGAAGACTCCTATGCAAGCGGCAGAGCCCCGGAACTGGCTAGCAGCAGCCTGCTTTAAGCCAGGGGCTGAACATGTGGTCTGAGGAGCTTCCATGGAAGCCAAAGGTATTTAGGGGCCCAGAGATGCAGTGAGGCATCTAGTGGGATTTTCCAAACATCCAAAGTAGGTTAGGCGCCAAAGTCCTATTGTTTTCAATGGCAGGCACTTCCCTTTGGCAATTTTGTAAATTCCCCCAGGCACCCAGCTGCATCTTTAAGCACCTAAATACCTGTGTCAGTCTGGCCCTTTGTACCTTCCCGATGGTCGGGGCGGGGTCAGAGCGCTCAAAATGCTCGTCCTTGATAACTCCGGTCCTGTCGACTCCTAGGGCACCAGCCCACACTGAGATCTCTCTCCTCGTGGAGACAGAGCCATCTGGCCAGAGCAAGTGCCTTTCAGCTGTGGGCTTAGGGCGTGAGCTGCCCTGTCTTGCGAATGAGATGCTCACTTACCCCTTATCCATGGATCGCGGGGCTGGCTTCACAGACATGGGGATGAAGCCCAGCTCTCTTTCCCTTCTAAATTCACTCTTGTCGCAGAGTTATTTATATTTTGCTTTATCTTAAATCTGCCCTTGAGGGAGCTGGGGTGTGAGTGGAGGTGACTGGATTTCTCCCTGTTCCCTTTGCAGGCTGTACCAATCTGTCAAGCTGCTCTACTCCATTGGGATCTTCTTCACCTACGCGCTGCAGTTCTACGTCCCTGCAGAAATCATTGTGCCCGGGGCTGTTTCCCAGGTGTCGGAGCGCTGGGCGCTGTGGGTCAACCTGCTCCTCAGGACGTGCCTCGTCTGCGTGACATGTGAGTAGGCTCCAAACCCCTTTGGTTTGCTCACCTTCTAGGGAGGGGATGGGGTGTCAGCGCCGTGGGAACCCTTGTGAAAGTATTGGCAGTGTATCCTTGAATCTTCCCCCATTGCTTACTGGACACTCGCCTCCTCCACGCAGTCTGACGCCCCTCGGCACAATTGTTAGACTCTGCCCAGGAGAGCCCGTGGAATGGGATCAGAGGTATTGCTGGTTAGGACTTGCCCAGCATCTGTCCCTTCCCTGGCTCTAGTCAGAGGCTGTCATGCTTGGCTCTGCATGCACCCAGAGTAGGAGCTGCAGGTGGTCTGTGTGTTGGAGCAGCACATAGGAAACTTGCACAATGCTTGCCTGTGTTAGGTCACTTATCAGGGACTCATTCCCAAAGTGCCGGCTGTTGGGCGATGAAATCCCTTTCAGAATGCAAAGTGTGAGGCAAACCTCCTGGTGCACTGAGTACACACTGCAGTGCCTTCCCTGTCCGCTTATGTAGGGCTCATGTACGTTCGTATTTGACGGTTACACGCTTTGCGGGCGGTTTCTAGCTTCTCTTCCTTGCTTTAAGGCTTGTCAGCAGCTCACAAACGGGCAACTTCCTCCAGTGGCTCAGAAGTTGCTGGCTAATACAGTAGCTGGATGGGAGGGGGCAAGCTAGGGAGCGGGAGCATGTTAAATCGGCCAACCACACTTTCATATATAACTGACCTACTTCACCAGGCCTCTTTCTTTTGCATTCTGTGGACTCTGTTTTGAAAGCAAAACTCTGCATCTCCATCCCCCCTTCTAAATTAAAAACATTTAAAAAATATTTAACACTACTACAAATGCTGGAGGTGAAGTGGGGCTTGGGGTGGAGGCTGACAGCTCACGGCCCCCCACATAATAAGCTTGCGACCCCCTGAGGGGTCCCGACCCCCCAGTTTGAGAACCCCTGCCTTAGACCTATTGTCCACCCGGCTAATAAGTGTGGGGGGCTTTTTTATTCTCTCTAGCGACTTATTCCTTCCTCCCTGAGTTTGAAAAGAGATGTAGCTAGCAGAAAATGGAATTAAAAAGAGAGCAAGGCAGGTGTGGTGTTCTCCGCTCTGCTTTGAACTAAGGATAATACTGGAAAGATTAGAACGGTCATTCAGAAGGATAAGAGGACAGGAATTTGCCAGCATCTGGAGTGCCAGAGTGGGACAGAATAGATGAAATAAGGTGGGGGTGTGCACAAAAAACTGACCCTTCTGCCTTCCTGTACTGCGGGGCTCTTTACTATAGGAGACAGTGCTAGAACAGAGATTCTCGGCAGAGCACTCCCCCAGTGCCAGGGGACACTTCCCCACCATTACCGCTCTAGTAGCGCAGCAGGATGCGGACTCTCCAGGTCCAAGACACACCCGGAGTTGATGGTTTCAAGCAGCTAAGTGGAATAGGCTGGAGTGAATCCAGGGCTGGAACCTTGTGGATACGTCAAGAGGCTGGGAAAGAACAAAGGGTTAAAGGATCGTCCCAGAGGTGCTAAGGGGCCGGGCATGGATTCCTTTGTCGCGCATATTCCTGCTGGGTTTGCGCACTCGGAGCGGAATGAGAGAGATCGCACGGGTCCTCAGAAAGGATAAAAGCCATTAAGTGGTTTGCATGAATATTAATTGGAATGATCTCATGGCCTTGGACCAAGCCTGCGTCACAAGAGAGGGCGCAGTTTGGATTTGTTTTAGCTTAGCCCTTCAAAACCTACACAGTTAAAAGCCCTTTGCATTAATATCTGTGGAAAGCACAACGGTTGTCCCCTGAGGCTGAGGAACTGCAACTGGTGGTTTACTTTTGCTGCTTGTTCTCCGTGGGGTCTTAATCTTGTTACTTTGAGCCACCGCAATGGAAGGAGTCGTAGGGGGCTCACGATGGCACATTTTGCAGCCGGTTACTCTGCTTGTCCTGCGAGTTGTCTCTGTAGGGTTGTGCCCTGTGGAGCCAGGAGATGGGGGCGGGATTATTTTGACTGGGGGGAGGGAGAGGTGAGAGAGGAAAATGAGGTGCAAAAGTGGGGGGCTCCTGTTATCCCTCAGCATCCCTCCCTCCCTCCCTCCCATCCCCCTCACACCCGTAACTTGAGCCAGAACTGAGCAAGCGCCATACTTGAGTTAAGCAGTGGAACAGGGCAGCCCCCCACCCTTAAACTGCCCCATTGGAGTTGGGAGCTTTTGTCAAGAGGTGAAGCCTCTTTTCTTACGGAGCTTTGTAAGTGATCCAGGCTTCCTTCGCTCCGTTGCGTGGCCCGATGGCTGCCTGTTCCTGGAAGTGGCTCAGTGCCAGTGAAATATCTGCTTCTATGTAGTGGCCAGTATCTCAATCCGATCACTCTGTCCGGTGTAGTGTTCGGGCCACTTGCTGAGCCTGCTTCTGAGGCCTGGGAGCCAAAGACCTGAGTTCTAATCTTGCCTTTGACGCTAACCAACCTTCCTGACAAGGTGGTTCGCCTTGAGGTGAAAAGGACTATAAATTCTGAGAGGCTGCATCTGCCATCAATTATGTGGCTACAATTCCTGTTGACTTCAGTGGGAACTACCCCCTGTAATTGAGGGCAGTCATTAAGGCTATCTTGTGCAAGCAGCAACCTGCTTACAGAGGCTAATTTACTAGCTTTAGATGAGCAGGTGACACTAAAGTTCAATGCCCAGATGTTTGTCTAGAGGACTCCAGGCAGACAGAGCTGTGGTAGTAATATAGGAAAAGTTACAGGAATGCTACAAGTTCATGAATTGCTCAGAGGTGCCCCCTATTGCTGCATTATGAGCAGGTTGTAGCAGGAATCTCTCACTCCAGCACTCGTAGGGTGAGCTGCTTGCTGGCTTGATTGTGATCATCTCTCCGCACGTTCACGGATTCAGAAGCAGCGAGGCGAGGTCTCCTTTGCTAGGTACTGCATGCCTTCTGGCGGGCTGGCTCCTGCCACCTGGCATGCAAAAAGACGTGTCGCCTCATTGAGGAAAGCGCCGTAATGTGCCAGAACCCTGGTGTCTACTCTGCTTCTTCCAGCAGGTGGCGTCGGTTGTGGCTATTTGCTCCAAACCGTAAGAGCCACAGTCCTCTGTGCCTCAGATCAGTCTGATGAGACCACTTTCAGCTCCGGTGCTCCTGGTCTTTCCAAGAAGACTTGCAGCAGAACAGGGAAAACCGGACTTGACACCAAGCCCTGGGCTACACTACAGATGTATGCTGGTATAACTGCATTGCTCAGGGGTGTGGAAAATCCACAACCCTGAGTGATGCATTTATACCGACCGAACTCCTGGTGTAGACCGCGCGATGTTGACGGGAGGGCTTCTCCTGTCACCATAGCTACCGGCTCTTGGGGAGGTGGAGTACCTACGCTGACGGGAGAAGCTCTCCTGTCCGCAAAGATAGTGCCTTTACTAAGTGCCACCGCAGTTCAGTGCTGTAAGGGATAGACAAACCCTAAGACTACTTCCTTGCCCCTTTTTTTTCTTATGCGCCAAAGACAGGCAAGAGCACACACCGGATTGGTTTTCTCCTCAGGTCATATTTCCAGTGGAAAGGGGTAGGGTGAGCTCTGCATCCAGTTGGTCTCATGCTGCTGTAACCTTACTCAGAGACTGACTGCAGCACACGTCTGCAAAACCCTATGCTAAAGAAGGTCCTGAACTGTCTAAGCACGATGGGGCCACGGAAAGACAAGCTGGCCTTAACTCAGGAGTTGCTGCCTGTGTTGACACATTGAGTTTAATTCCATCAAAACTCGATAGAGAACAGATTTCTGTTGCAACCCCTCGGCGCTCCCTGAGGTTTCACCGTGGCCAGTCTTTAGCTAACCAGCCAGGCTTGCCCGTGCTGTGGAATTAAGTGGCTGTTACTTTCAAGGCCCTGATCTTGTGACATGATTAGAAAGCTCTGTCAGAGGCGCTCACCTAAGCGAGTTGCTGCAGCGGCGGCTCTGTCCTTCGCTTTCTGACTGTCACGTAGCCACCGAACGCGATGCAGACTCCCAGGCTGTCAGAACCTTCGGCTCCAGTGGCTGTAATAGCGTTGAGTTGCCATCTTACCCTGCTGCCCCTCACACCGCAGCTGTATTGGCAGAATGACCCCTGGACTGAAGACCTTGGTGTTGGGGGCGCTGTGATGCAAGCCGAACAGCGCCACGTTTCTTTCCAAGCACGTTTCTTGTTCCGTTGCACAAGAGATCAGTTTTCTGGTGACCCATATTAAAACAAATAAGCTCTGGGTGCAAAAATGCCAGGTTTGTTTTTTCTATATCCTGGGCTCTAGGAGTTGGATCCCCCCCCTCCCCCTCCCTGAGTAGGTAGCAGACAGTATTTTTTTGACAGGCCGTGTTTTCAAAGCAATCAACCAATTTCCTTTTCTCTCTGGTGATTATGCTTTGAAGTGCCCTACTTTCATTGCCGAGAATCTTTTTGTTGTGCAGAATCCGGTTGCCTTCCTTCTTAGGATTTTGTGTCACTGAAAAGCCCTAACAATGCCATTGAGCACTAGAGCTGAAGAGCTACCCACCTTGTCTTTTCTTTTCCTAATAAGTTGGCTGTTTGGGGCTTAGGCCCTTATAGCAATTTTTTTTTAATTGATTTATTTTATTGAACTGCTGTCTGTGGTACTTATCCGGCCCCACTACTGTAGTGTTGGAGTACCTCAGGCTTTAAGGCACTAATCTTCACAACAGTCCTGTGAGGTAGGGAAGTGGTGGTATTGCCATTTTACAGATGGAAAGCTGAGGCATTATAAAGCTAAGTGACTTGCCCAAGGTCACACAGGACATCTGTGGCGGAGCAAAGGATTGTACTCCGCTCTCTAGTGTCCCGGACTTGTGCCCTAACCACTGGGCCGTCTCTCTTCGGTGTTGTAGGTTCATCATTCTGCTTAGGATTACAAAAAATGAAGCTCCATACACCCAGGCTAATGTGGCTGGAGGCTGAGAGAACATCCCACAAGTAGCTTGGAGTTTCTCTCTCCATTTCTGTGTAGCAGAGCATGTGTCACACCCAGGGCCCAATATGCAACTTCAGTAATGGAAATCATTAGGGGCAGTTAAACCAGGGTAAGTATTTTCTGTAAGCGTTGAAGCCGGGGGGAAGAGTGGCCTGAGACACTGGGAAAGTGGGGAGAGGCGGAGATGGATGTGAGGAGTCTCATGACAGCATGTGGCTGGTAGGCCCTTTCGTTGGAACTGAGTTTCAGAAGTCGTTCCCGTTTCTGGAAGTGGAGTCTATTGGCTGTCACCCTGACTGACTTGGCGTCGCGTGCTCCTTTCTTCGCTGTGATGATGGCCCTTCGGCACTGGTGCCAGAAGATGGGCACCGACCTCTGTTTTAATTTACACCTTTTTGGGTAGAGCAGGGTGCTAAGTTTCTTTTTTTTCTGGGCAGTTACTGTCTGGGTGAAGAATGTGAATTGTACAGGAATGCTGGGACTGCAGATAGCGTTCAGTGGGGCCTGTAATATTTTACAGATTCTGTTAACGAAGAACCGAAAGGCATTGGCCCGGCAGCAGGATCCGGGTTTCGGGTCATTATCATGGAGGTCATTGTTTAACCAACTCAGCGTGTCACGTGGTAATGTCAGAGGCAGTGCTGTCCCGCTTCCTCTGCTGCCTGTGACGTCTTTTCCTGCTCTGTGGTGTTCTCCCGCCGCGTCCCACCTCAGCCTCTGTGGTGTCACCCTCCACTCCTCCCTCTTCTTTGCACGCACATTGCCTATCTTCTAAGTGAGGGCTGAGCTGGAGCTGTGACCCTCATTCATGGCTGTCTGAAGATGGCCAGGAGAGGCATCCTCTAGTGGCAAAGGCAGAACTGCAGTAAATTCCCTTCACTGCTAGCTGCTCAAGTCAGGAGGTTCCTTATGAAAATGGGACACGTGTGGCGAACGTCTGCACGTTTCTAACTACCATCCAAGCCCTGAGGTGGGAAGGGTTGAAGTTGCCATTCCACGTGTGACACCACAATTACCTTCCATAGCAAGAGCATGGTTCCACTAATTCAGGACTGTGACTTGGCTGGGGGATTAAGGAGAGAGCTGTTGTTTCAACACAATATCGGACACACACACGTTGGCAAATAGAGAAAACGCCTGGCCAAGGAACCTGCTTGTTTTTCTTTCACGTTCTAGTATAAAAATTCCCCCTCTAACGGATCAAGTTCCCCTTTTAAAGCATCATGTTCTTGATCCATATTGCCTTGATCGTTGCTAATGACCACAGTGCTTGTTGGCAGTTGGAATGCTACGAAGGCAGTGGATTTCGTGGTGTTCCTTACACGCAGCAGGTCATGCCTATTTAACCCTTCCTCTGCCCTAAGAGATCAGTGTCCCTCGAAAATCCTCTTTATTGCTCTTATGGTCTCCACAACCATCGATCTGAGCACCTGTTACGCAGCCAACCCTTCTGGTGTTGGCCCTAATGTGAAGCGTGGGCTCCTGACGCTGGGCACGTAGATCTGAGTTTAACCCCCTGATTTTGAAAATCGGCTCCTTACTTGGCGGGGTGGGGTGGAGGGGAAACGCGTGACTCTGGACTAGCTGGAAAAGCTCTGTAAAGGCCCAGACAGGCCCAAGGCTTGTTAGTGCCTAGCTCGGCTTCCTGTCACCGCTGTTAAGATTGGTTGGGGGACCCTGGCTGTCTCAGCTATCGGCTCACTCCCCTCTGTAGCCTGTTGGAGCCAGAGTCCGGCAGACCTCCAGGGCACGATGCTAAAGACCCAGGCCTTTGACAACAAGCTGTGTTTTAGCTCTTGTTCTCAGGGGCCGCGCCTGCTGTCTATAAGTGGGTGTCTCACTGCCGCGATCATGGGCCCTATAGAAATAAGTTAAATGAGCCGCCTCCTCATAAAACTGAAGCTCTGCGAGTAGCCCCATCCTATTGCCATGGTGCCATTACTGGCTCTCACTTCAAAATGCCTTTTCCGAACAGCGATCTGAACTCATCCTGTGCAGTGGGCTTCGCCGTCTGCTTTCCACATCAATGCCTTGCTTCACCCTAGCCAGTGGGCCTCTGTTCCACAGGGGCCCTTGAAGGTGTAAACGTTTGACTGGTGAGAGCGCTGGGTCACCCCTCCCACCTCCATCGCAAGCTGCCCTGTGCAGTAATGATCCAGCCCCTATCTTCCCTTCCACCTTCCCGCAGAGGAGCAGAACTCATGGGGGGGTGGGGAGGGGGCCTAAGCTTAAACTCTAAAATAACTTGCCCCTGGATGCCCAGCCTGGTCCAGGGAGTCCTGAGACAGCTGATGAGGCTTGCAGATCTGTGGTTTATTCCTTTGTGCAGGGCTGCTGTCCGACACATCCTGTTGCTCTGAAGGAACCTACCCCCTGCTGAAGAGCAGCATTCCCCATTGCAAGGAGACACGCACCCCTCGGGCTGCTGGCCTTTCTGTGGCCTAGCCAGCTGAGAGCACGACACCCTTCTGATTCCCGCTCAAACCCGACGCCTCGGTCTGGTGGCCACCGAGGGGGACCCCCTGCTCCCTGGACTGAAGGGGAGAGGGCGTGGCCGTGTCAGTGTTCTTCTGGGAAAAGATAATGGCCACGGTTCTTGGGACCGTGAACCTGACCGGTTCCCGGAGCGAAGCTGCCACCGTGGGGATTTCTGGGTGCAGCCCCATGCATTTCTCCTCATTTAATGATATGCGAGTCCAGGAGCGATGGTGCCGAATCCCTGTGCACGATGGATCTCCGTGGCACCCTAGTGCACTCCTGGAGGAAGAGTTCTCCCCCCCCACCCCCGATCTGGTCACAGTCTCTCTAGCCAATCTTGTGTGCACGCTGGGGCAAGGTGGAGCTCCAAATGGCCTCTCAATACCGAGTGCCAAGGGGCCATTCAGGAAGACCAGCCCCTGAAAAGCTACTGCTTGCTTTGGTTAATGACCCCAGCACCTGTCATCTGTAGCTCTCTCCGCTTTAGATGGGTGGAGAAGTGCTATCCCCAGAGAGAATCGCACCTGCCCAGCTTATGGTGAGTCAATTGGCAGAGCCAGGAGAAAAGCCCAGTGCTCCGGAGTGCCCTAACAGACAATGCTGCCTCGGGCGTGGGGGAGGTTGTGCCTGAATTGGGTCGTTCTGTACCCTAGACGTGTGTTGTCACTTTAACAGTCTTGGGGGGGAGGCGGGAAGAGACACCCGGGCTGCTGGCTTCCAGCAAAGCTTGCTTTGATTGGTGGGCAGAGGGAGATATAATCCAGGGGGCCAAACACAGGCCCCCTGCTGCCTCATTCACCTTACGCTGTGGTGGCCTGTCTGTTCCTACCTGCTCAGAGGAGAGCGGTCTCTCTGCAAGTGCCAGTACTAACAGCCCTGTGTTTTTTCTCTCTCTCTCTCTCTCTTTTTCCCCTCCCCAGGCCTGCTGGCAATCCTGATCCCCCGCCTGGACATCGTCATCTCTCTGGTGGGCTCCGTGAGCAGCAGTGCTCTCGCCCTCATCATCCCTCCCCTGCTGGAGATCACCACCTATTACTCCGACGGCCTCCACCCTGTCACCATCGCCAAAGACATCCTGATCAGCGTCCTGGGCTTTGCGGGGTTTGTGGTGGGCACCTATGAGTCCCTTTGGGCTCTGGCCACCCCCCCCATTTCCAACACCACCAGTGCCTTGGTACAGTGACCCCTTTTCCTTCTCCCGCTCCACCCCAGCAACGCCGTACAGCCTCTTGGCAGCTCATGGGGTTTTTATCAGGGTTATGGCAGCGAATCTCCCTTCCTTCTCTTTAAAGGCATTTGTCCAGGAGAAGTGAGGGTGAGTGCACAACCAGAAAAGACAGGACCCTGATTCCCTTTCCCTTTCCCTCTCCTCATAGCGTGCGGTTCCCACTTTGGGGGTCTCATTGCTTGGGTCTGGGAGCCCTGCAGAGATGACTTGTGGCCCCTGGTTGGGATGGAGTGCCTTCCTTCGCTCCACCGGGATCCTTCTGGCAGATTAAGATGACATACCTACAGGTGCCAAGGTACTGCAGTTTGAAGTGGACATGCTCTAGACTATAGAGTACCAAGGGGAGGGAAGAAACCTTTGGGCTCGTTCAGGGATCTAGATGACTGCTTCACAACCAAGGGTACCTCTACCCTTCCCAAACTCCCCTCTGCCCAGAAAGAGAGAATCTCCGAGTCTTTTCTGGTGCCAATTTTTTTTCCCAGCACTTTAATTCATGGCAACAGAGCAACTCCAGCCAGTGAGTGACACATTAGAGCCCTCATCCCTAAGAGCTGTAGAACCTGGAAAATTACAGTGACAGCAAGGGGAAAAGGGAACAGGAAACTGCACAAGGAGAGAGAATCTCTTGTATGCGCTGCCCTGGCAGGCTGACCGTCACAGCCCGGTCGGGCCTCAGTGGGTAGAGCGCTCTCTAGCTTGAGGAGCCAAACACATGAGCATTAGATGGCAACGTTTATTGGAAGCCACATTACAAACCCGTCTGTCAGGGCCTTTTTCAGCCTAGATCCCCCTGCCATACCCCATCTCCGGCTCCGTCCATTCTAGGTAGTGTGGGATAAGGCAAGTCTGTGTGTTTGGGTTTCAGAGAGGAATTGGGGGATTGTGCTAAATCCCTGATTTAAGTTTAGTTGTGATTGGCCCCCCCCCCCCCTTGTAGACTCTGTATAAGGGATATGGGGTTATCGAAAGCATTAGGAACAAGGTACCCACGGAACAGGCTGGGAAGGTGTCATGTGGCTCCAAAGTACTTAACTGCTGAGGCAGTTATTTTATTCTTGAACTAGGAGCCCACTTTCCTTTACACCTTTTCTTCAAAAAAAGGGCACGGGACAGGGATGTCCCCTTGCCGGTACTACTTTAAGCTCACTCCTCCTCCCCCTGGAACGCACCCCGCCTACAAGGGATGTCTTGTGTTTACACCCACCATAGCTACGCCCCTGCTGGGCGGTGCTACCTCACTGTTTGTTATAAATCACTGATCGCACAAATGCTGAATCATGACGACGAGAACCGAAGGCACATTGTTATAATGAACCTGCGTTCCTCTTCTCTTCCCCTGCTGGATCTATCCTTTGTTCTCCAGCTAGTTAAGTGGGGGTCCCACTACTTGCTAGGTAGGAAGAAGCGTGATCTGTTTTACCCACTTGGCTTGATTAGCGAGGGAAGGGAGCTGTCTCTTTCGTGTTCCTCTTTCATTCATTTCCCTTTACTTCACTCTAGATCTCTAGACAGCGATAAGCTTTGTCATGGTCATGCTTTGGTAAGGCGTGGCTTGACACGACACCATAACTCTCATTCATGTGGCTTGTAACAGTTTGTCAATGACCAAAGGACTAGAGTAAGCGATCTTGGACCTGGATGCAGGGTTTGATTTAAAAATCTCTTCCTTCTGGTTAGCGTAAGAGGAAGGCATCACTCGCGTCTGAATGAAAGCACTAATGAAGGGAGTGTTCGTAAAGTGACGGCTGGAAATCAAATAGCGTCCCAGTGTCTGCTTCAGCACACGGACCCATCCAGGACTACTTTGTAGTGATTGTTTTTTGTAATTTAGTTTTTTTACATCGATTTGTAAAGGCGCCGCCAAGACCCCCGCAGGATGGTTTGTTAAGCTCGTGTCTAAAAGTAAGCCCAGTCTGAAAGGGCATTGGGCTGAACTTATTTATTTGCTAGGATAGGGCAGGGAGGGCCAATGTATATTCATCTTGAAATAGAGGCTTGGAAGCCAAACTTGCAGCAGGTGATCAACAGAGGTTTGTTCCCAGAGCCCTGTGCTGTAATATGAATGGTGTGAAGGGAGGGTTGATGCTGTCTCTTAACCATCCAAAACCTCTGAGCTCTTGGACGCGTGTAGCAATGGAAAGATCCGGCTGTACAATGGCGGGAGCATTTCAGTAGAACGGGAGCAGGGTTTGATTTCCCCTTGGCCGCAAAGTGGCTGTCTTAGGTAACTAGCAGGGCCTAGCCGCTAGCCTCTACAGCCTGGAAATGGAGTCTGTGTGCTTTTTTTTGTAATGGCAATTCCAAAGCATGGCTGGCTGGTCCTGCTGCTCCCCAGAGGTTGGGTTGTGACTACCTGACCCCGAGGGCTTTACTGGAAGGTGTCAATTTATGCTGCGGCAATACCAAGGATTGGTTTTAAAGGGGACACTAGTAAATGGGGTTGTTGTGCTTTTGCTGTTTCTTCAAAAGCTGCTTCTGTCTCCAGGAGCCCTTAGGGAGATGTTTAGGAAGCAATTGTGCTTCTCTCTCTGTGTACATTCCTAACACAGATGTTTTCATTAAATGGAGAGTTCACTTCCTTCATCAGTGCCTGTTCCTCAGGTTGTTTCCTGAAGCAAACAAACCCTTCAAGTTCAGATCTCCTTGAAAACAGCCTGACCAAAACAATGCATATTGGCACCTCTCCAACCCCTGACGTGGGCCAAGCTTCTTTTCCGCTCTCTATTACTTCTCCTTCAAAGCCTCAAAGTGTGTCCTCCCCGGGGGCACACCTTTCCTTTAGAGATCCCCTCTCCCACCCCGCAGATACCCCGCTCTCTCTGCAGCCTCAGTGCAGCCAACAGATTCTAGGAACAGGTCCCATCTGGTCCGAGAGCCAGCCCTGGTTTCAGCAAGGAACACTGTGATTGGTTTGAACTGAACTTGAGGAAATACAGGCAAATTTGGCATGCTGGCATCTTGTTTCTGACACTGGAGAACAGCGGGGCTTACAGTTCTTTGGTGTTTGACCTCTTCTGAGAGAAGACCAAATGCCAGGATGAGAAGCTATCTGGAGATGAGCTCCAATACATAAACTGCCTCCAGGTCCCTCCTATTGTACAGAGGCTACGTAAGTAGCCTCTTTCCCCGCAATGCAGCCGCAGTATAGAAATTGCATTTGGTTCAGCACAGGGTGCATATGTTGAGACCTCTACACCCGTTTGCCCAAGCCTGGTGTCTTCCTGCAAGATTGTCAAGCCAGTCATGTGGTGGTGTAGCTTTTTTTTTTAGCTGCAGGTAGCTATATCTTATGCTCCTTTACATTTTCACGGCCACTCACGTCATCGGCGTGGCTGCAGCTGCAAAGCAAAACCTGCTCCATCTGCAGCCTTCCTGCTGAAGGTCATAGCAAGCCCAGCAGCCAGTGAGGGCTTATGACTGTTGACTTAGGGGACACTCTTGAGTTGCCAGTTGCTGGAGTGTCCCTTTAAGACCAAGGACCTGACCCTGATGTCGCTTGCTTTGGTGTAAAGTTCAAGTGACTGCCCTGAGATCGGTGTGAGCGCGATCAGCAGGCCCCGGTGTCATGGAACTGCCCTGGGGAATGGAGCCTGACGTGCACACTACATATGGCAAGAGTGCAATGGAAAAGATCATTGTATATAGAACTTACTCTGGTGTCTGATTTCATTACTGACATGCAGAATCACTGGGCTGCACCTTTTCTACCCAGCATCATTGCATGCTGGAGTCTCGGGGAACAGTTTCTCTTGGCTTCATGGCTTTGTCTTCTGCTTGATGGAACGTTGGCAGCAATCGATAGCCACTACCTCCTGTTATCAGCAGGGCTCTCCTTGCCTGCCAGCCAGCCAGCGTAAGGATTATTACATCGAATGGAACACTAATGTGAGTGTCGCTCCCCCTGCCGCTCCCACCCATCCACATATGCTGCTCTTGGCCTCTAGGCAGTCCTGATTGACCACTGAGGGGTGTCTCTTCTCCATTTCCCCTGGTAGAAGTGGCAGTTCAAGTTAACCTCAGCACTGTATCAATCAAACCCCCTCCCTCACACCATGTAAAATACTAATGTCAGAATTATTGCTAATGGGACATGTCCTGTTGGGAGCGATAACTTGTAGTCTGTCCCCTCTTCCCCCACCTCCATTTAAAAGCTCTTTCTGTTGTCAGCCCTGAGCTGATGCGACACTATACAGCTCCAGGGGCTGGCTCAGTGGGCACTCTTGCACAGAACACAATATAGATTCAATATAACTTTGCAGAGCACTTGGATAACACGGGATTATTTGCTCTCTGAATATTAGCAGCTCGCTGCTGGCTCAGAAGAGGGGGAAAATGGTTTTGTTTGTACTAACTGTCTTGGCCATATGATCATGTTTCGAGGGATATTGTAGAAGTGGCCATATCTACTTTTGGAGCCCCTGGTCGCATTTGACATGCATATCATGCTGTCCCTCTTCATTCCCAGTGGGGCTCCAGTTCTGGTGTGGTACCACATCTCCAATCAAGGAAATGAAAAGGGCATTTCGTGGCAGAGCAGAGGGAAGGAGTGCATGACATGCCCATCTGCAATGGTAAAGAAACCCGGGACAAAATTCCACTTTAGGTTTACCCCTGTGTAACCGGAGTAACTCCATTCACAGTCAATGGAGGTACGCTGGCTTTACCCCTGATGAGAACAGCATTTGGTCCCTGGTGTTAGAATGAATGGTTGACCTGGCAGTTCAAGTAGCTGTGACTTTAGACTGCAATCAGCGCTGAAGTCCTCACATTTGAGGTGCTTGTAGATTCTTATGATCAGGACGTTGTTCACATTTTTTTTGACTAGCTTAAATGTTGGGCCTTTCCGCTATATTTAAATGAAAATAAAGGGGTGGGGAACAGGGTGCATTTACCTGGGGTTACACTTATCCATGGAATGACTGAATAATTGTGGAGCGAAGTGTATTTTGACATAAGGTAGTCACAGCCAGCATTGGACTGGATGATCAGTGAGACCTACCATTTGACTTCTACATTGTCAGCAGGTCAGTGACCAGGAAAAGTGTATGTGTAAATATATCTAATCTGTTGTATGTTTTTCGTGCCAGCATGTATGTATATTGCCAGCACACAGTATGTATATCTGCCCAGTGAAAGAACTTATTTGTATTTGGTGCTGTACCTGGATCATGTATTCGGTTATTTTATTCAATAAATAAGGTCTATTTTTATTTTATTAAAGGCTTCCATGATGCGATTTTTATACTAAGAACTTTATTTTTTTTTTTAGATGTCGGATAAATTTTACCCTTTTGGGTTAAATGTCCATAGTTACCAGCTGTGATCATTTATATGTAACAAGTAGGCTGTTCTTAATTATTGAAGATTGTTAATTATTGGGGGGAGGGATAGCTCAGTGGTTTGAGCATTGGCCTGCTAAACCCAGGGTTGTGAGTTCAATCCTTGAGGGGGCCACTTAGGGATCTGGGGCAAAATCAGTACTTGGTCCTGCTAGTGAAGGCAGGGGGCTGGACTCGATGACCTTTCAAGGTCCCTTCCAGTTCTAGGAGATAGGATATCTCCATTAATTCAGTATTCAATTCAACACTGTTAAATATGGTTTGGCACCCAAAATGTGCAAGGCGCTTTATCAATGACCTTAAGCCATGGGTCCTGGCCCCCAAAGGGCTTGGCATGTAAATGATGAAACTCCTGTCAGATCCAGGACGTAGGTGGCTGGGCCTAGGGGTTAGTGTAGGACAGGGGACCGGGTTCCCGTATCAGAATGGGGTTCAGGACCAAGAGCTGAGGTCAGGAACTGAGAGTCAGTTATCAGGCCTGTTAAGGATCAGGAGACAGGAGCGGTTAGCACTCGGTGATCAGGGTGGAGCCCAATTGTACAGATAACTTCCTGTTCCTTCTTCTGGCTTAAGTAGGGGGGGGGGGAACAGGCCAATCAAGACCTCGGGTGTTCCACCAATCAGGGCCCAGAGGTGGAGCCTTCTAGCGGATGCCATTAAGCTGTTGGGTGGAGCATTGACCCCCAGGAGCCTTGTGGGCCCAGGTTTTAGACATGTGGGTCATGACAATGGCACAGGAGGGAAAAACAAAAGAGAAGGCAGCTGGCAGGGAGATCTGTAGATCCACCTTCCCTTCCCTGGCACAGAAATAAGGGTATGGAGGTCACACGTGCAACATAAAATGAACAAGTCTGACTGGTTCTAAAGTATCCCAGATCTGTGCAAATTGGTTACTTCTCCCCTGACCAGGAAAGGGGAGGTCATGGTGACTATCAATCTGCATTGTGGGAGAAGGGGTTTCAAAGCCACCAGGGGAAATAGCTGTCCAGCTCCATCTATTTCTAATAGTTCTAGACACCTGATTGCCATGAGGCAGCTTTGAAAATCTATGCCTACATCTCCTAACTCTCCTCCCTTCCCTCCTAGCACTTTCTAATAAGTTGCTTTTGAGAGAGACCGAAGCCAGCCCTTCTGCAGCGGGCACGCAGACCCGGTAATCCCTCAGTTCCAAGCACTGTATCTAAATGTGTGGAGACTTCTACGGCATTGGAGAATTCACAGGGCTTCATCTGCAAGAAACTATACTCAATGGGAGCTGGTTGGGAGTGGATTATTGAACAGGTGCATCATGGTGCACCCAAGAGAGGCAAAAGGGAGCAATAGAAACTGCTAAATTTAGTGGGCAGTATGCTAAGCAAATACTTTATTAAAATACCCCAGCATGTTTGCCCTTATATGGCATGACCTTCCTTTTTAATTTCTTCCAAGGGACTTGTCTATGCTGGGGAATTGCAAGCAAGGACAAGGACTGTCATTTGACGTTGTGTTAGCAAGTTGTGAACACTGAATGCTAAGTTGTGTTTAACACCGTTACCGTAACTCTGCAATGTCACTTCCCAGTTTGATCTTCAATTAGCAGGTCAAGCTTGTGGCTCCAAGGGTTGTGACTTATCAATTGAAATTAATTTGCTCTCCCTATCAGTGAGGGAGACAAGTTTGGGTAGAGCCCGATGTGGATGCAAAATTCGTATCCGCATCCATCCGCCATCTGAAACCTGGTCTGCGAATATAAAGCAGATAGCCGCAGAGGTGCGGGGCTCTAAGTATGGGACATATCAACTTCCCAAGCACCCGATAAATGGCATGGTACACCTAGTGAATTGATTTTGCACTTGTGTAGTACTTCCCTTTCCAAACACCAATGAACTAACTCACCAGTTAATTCATGTATCCCCATTTTACAGGTGGGGAAAACCGAGGCAGGGAGAATTAAGTGATTTGCTCAAGGTCATGTAGGAAGCTGCAGCAGAGCTGTGAATAGGACTTGGGTGTCCTGGCTTCTCCTCTTGTGCCTGCACCATAAAATGATTTTTCCTCTCTAGTAAACGGTCCAACTTACTAGTATTCAGTTTTACGTTTTCTGTTTCTCCTGTAATAAGTTCTGACCATCACCTCACTTTATAACCTACTTGTAAGAACAGTGACTAAAACGATGCCTTAATCCTGCATCTGGGTGGAAGGACCTGGGTTTGTGCCTTTCACTGTCTAGTGTTGGTCAAAATGTTTTCCTACTGGGACTGCAGGAAAGCCGGCTGTGTTCTATTCGCCTCCTGCATGATCAACATAAGTGCTGCCTAAATGCGTGTTACAGAATCTTTACTGCTAGTCCCAGTGTGCAAAGCAGAAGCAAAAGTTTGATCTTCAATTAGCAGGTCAAGCTTGTGGCTCCAATGGTTGTGACTTAAAGTTTGGGTAGAGCCCTATGTGGATGCAAAATTCGTATCCGCATCCATCCGCCATCTGAAACCTGGTCTGCGAATATAAAGCAGATAGCCGCAGAGGTGCGGGGCTCTAAGTATGGGACATATCAACCTTTCTACAGTACGGACAGGGTGTTTTCTTTCTAAACTGCAGATGGAGCTAGGGTTTTCAGAAAGTATCAGTGTAATCAGGAAAGGTGTGTAGATCCACCTCCTGTATATATGAGTCTGTCTGGCCACATGGATGCACAATTGTACCCGATCCACCCAACAGCATGATATGAAATTCACCTGCACTCTTTGATAGTTACTCATTTGGAAAGTACAGCAACAAGGCTGGAACTGGAATTCTCTTCAGATACTGCTGAATAATTCATGTTGCTGCTGTATGTCGTTATCAGGGCCATTTGGAAAATCAACTCTAAAGAAATTAGTCTCTGGGTTTGAAGGATGCTTGGCTACCAAGCACAAGAAATTGTCCATAATGGATGGAAGGCCTGAGCATTGGGAACGTATGACCCCAGGAACAGGACCAAAGTGGCACCTAACTGCCCTTTGTGCCTTTTGCAAATCAATCCATTTTGTGGATGGCACCATTCTCCAGCAGCTGTTTGGGGAGTGGGAGAAGAGGGAACCTCCTTGCACGCTGCGCTGAGGGAACCTGGCATTTGGAGGATCACCTCTTCGGTCAGCTGATGGAGTTCATGAATAGAGCGGGGTCAGTTTGGGGAAATGGGGAGGGATAATCTCCAAGTTCAGCAGAGTGAATTCTGCGTTGGGAGGGAGGAGAGTCCACTAGTCCCTTGTCCTGTGTGCCACTCACGGGAGCAAGACAAAGATGCTACCCTCTTGGACAAGCTCAGGATTAATGCGGAGATTATAAGTCTTCAATGTTTACATGAGCCAAATAATCAGTTTGAAGCCAGCCCCCAGCACGAAGTGGATACAGCAGTGTTTCTCAACCTATTTACCATTGTGGGCCGCAGGTTGAGAACTATTGGCCCGCCCAGCCCTCCGCCGCCAGGATGCCCCTTCTCCTCGGGGGCAGACCCGCACCACATGCTGCACCGCCCCCCTGACTCCCTATGCCTGGTAATCCCCCTACAAACCCCAATGCCCAGAGACCCCTCCACAGAGCAGGGCTGGCAGCCAAGACCCCGGGTGCGGGGCCAGAAGGGGAGCCCTATGTAAAACCTGGGGGTGCTGGAGCACGTCCCCACTGCCCTAGTGCCTACACCTATGCTGCCCAGCACCCTCACCAAATCCCCCACTTCCTACTGTCTATCCCCCCCAAACCTCCCCAGAGCCTCTCTCTCCTGTACCCCGCCGGGCCCCGCTGCTGGCAGGAGCACTCCAGCAGGGCTGTCTGGCACCCTCTCCTCCTCTGCCAGCCCTGCCCCCTGCCAGATGGGAGCAGCAAATTATGAATGTTTTTAGCACACAGCTGCGGTCCAGCTGTGTGCTAATTGGGCTGTGGGTTGAGAACCAGTCCACTGGTATTCAGTATGGCCATTGCTCTCACCAGTAGATTTCAATTACACGTCCTTTTCTCCCACTAGTTTGTAGTTTGAGCATGCATTTAGTAAAGCAGGTGCTACCCTAGGCCGAGCCAGGTTCAGACTGACTGCAAATTAATACATCTCATTTTCTTCAGGGCCAACTTACCAGTACTAGAGCACTTCTAACTCTATCTGATTGTACTAATTTAAGGGCCCTTTCATTTGACGTGTTGGGTGTCCTCAGCATGCACTGAAGTTGATCAATTGAGCTTGTTTCATTCTGTTTGTTACCGCTACGTGCTTTATTGAAAGTTTAAGGAGAGCTGATTTTCCCCCTCATGCAATGGATTGCCAACTTTCTAATTGCACAAAACCAAACACCCTTGCTCTGCCTTTCTCCAAGGCCCTGCCCCACTCATTCCATCTCCCCTCCCTCTGTCACTCGCTCTCCCCCACCCTCACTCACTTGCTCATTTTCACCAGGCTGGGGAGGGTCCCTTTTCGACCAGGTGTTCCGATTGAAAACCGGATACCTGGCAACCCTTACACTAGTCACTGCATATGTGCTGTGGGTCAAGGAAAAAAGCCAGGGGTCCATTAGAAAATAAAGAATTTCTAATATCAGAGCCCACCAAATCTGTTCATTTAATTCACAATATTCCACTAGCAGCTTCTTAAGAAATAAATCCCCCCACCTTAAGGTGGGAAGGCTTTTAATTGAAACCCTTAGCTAAAATCTAGCAGCTGTAGGTCTTAGTCTAGGCTGAGGCCTTAACTCACATTAAGCTTCTGAAACTGGGATGGGCTCCCAGAACTGGAGCAAGGTCCTGAGTTGTGCTAAATATCCAGGCTGGAGTGAGTTCCTGACTATGCTGAAGGGCTGGAATAGACGTCTGACTAACCTGCGCTCTCACACCGGAGTGAGGTATTCA